TAAAGGCTGAACGGGAAAAACAACGGTATAATCTATAAAAAGTAAAATAAAAATATTACTAAACTCCGAGAAAATTCAAAACGGAAAGTCCCTAATCAAATGGCAAAATAAAAAGCTTAAACACATCAAACGAATGGATAACAACTTTCATATTCCTGAGTTGGTACAGGTATATAAGAAACGAGAAACACTTATAAACCACATCAACAAACGACTACCACTGAACAACAGGTTCCTGACTTAGGACAGGTGCAAATAAATGCAGCGGGTTTAAACGTTTTAATAGGTACCTACCTTCACCCTTACTTGAAACAATAGTGTAACATCATAACATAGAAAGACACACTATAAAATATCAATTGAAATGGCTTAACTCAATGAAAAGACATATTAACACAAGTGAACATACACTGAACGAATACATTTGATCTATGAAACAATGTAAATACAAGATCAATAAAATAAGGGGTGAGATGTTAGATGTTTAGAAAGATAACCATAACCTTAAACAAAATGCCGCCAAATAGAATAATGTACAAAGGTAAATGAAAAAAAAATTGTTATAAGGTATACAGTATGAATGGAGAACGGAAATATTTTTCACAAAATAAATAATTTTGTTGTTCATAGTACGAGAACAGAAGTGAAAATTTATAGTCATACACTAATATGGTATATATTTAAAATAGAAAGACGAGATATAACACTAAATAAGTAAACATGAAATAACAAAATTTATAAAAAGCATTACAAATTGTATCAACAGGTCAAATTAACACGAAAGTACGATTTGAGAGTACTCGCAACTACTGAAAGCTAATTAAAAGCCAAACAAAAACCAATTAATAATAAAAAAAATCATGCATCATAGACTAAAATCAACAAAAACACATCCCAGGGATTTAGCGTCATGGACAGTCAAAGAAGACATCACTTGTGCAATGCCATAAATAAAAGTATCGACAGGCAGTAGGATAGTTACGATTCTATATAGAAAAAATGAACGTGGATGTGTATTTATACATCCCGTTTGACACGTTTGAAAAGAATACAAATTTAGTTATGTTTTAATTTGCTGGTTGCAAAATCAATATTTGTGCCAATGTAAACTATGTTCAATGATCTGATTACAACATTGGTAAGATTTGTATGCATGTATTTAATGAATAATTTAGTGAACATGATTTTAACCAGCAAGTCGTTTCATATTACTTCAATAGGATGATTTGTAAGATGAAAACAACGCGACACACATATTTTCAATCGCTTTTTGGTTTGTCATTACATGTCATGACATATTTTCTCATTGCTGTAGATTGACAACTATGTTTAGGGGTGACCTGCAATCCAAGAGAAAAGTTACTAAATTTTTATTTTTCTGATGAGGTTGATGAATACAAATTAGGGTCACTGGCAATATAAGAGATACTATCTATTTTGTATGTCCCGTTTACCATAGTGTTAAGGAATATTTATGTAAAAAAAATAAAAAACATTTTTTACCAATTAAGTATTTCTATTATCAATTTATATTTTAAAAATTCCGTTGGAATTAGGTACAATTTGGCAGGGATACTCAGCACTATTTGCAGATGGAACAGGTATTTTTTAGTGGCTTAAAATGTTAAAACATAGACTATGCAATGCTTGCCAATTGAAAATGTTAACGAGATATATTTGACACTTTTAATTAGAATATCAATTATTATCATGTGACAACTTGTATCAAATGCTCCTGAAGTTATGTAATCAAACTGACGTTGGAGTTACAATGTACTCATGATAAAACACATACTTTTTTGTTTACTCTGGATCTTTTACGAGGAGCATAACTTCAAAACATGGTGTAAAGGATACATTAAGCACATGCTATTTATAATACCAACTTTAAAATAAAGAATAGGAACGGGGAATATGTCAAAGAGACAAAAAAGTTCGAGTTCAATGTTAGAAAAAGGCAACTTAAAAAACTAAGTAAAAATATAATGATCGACATAAATTAACAAAGGCTTATAGCTGTTACTGACAAGCCAGCTCTAGACCTCAAGTGAACTAATAGAAAAACATGTATTAACCTATAGTAATTCCAACAATTTTACTCCCAATAGGGTTTTAGAAAATGGTCATCATGAACTACAAAAGTTGCCATAATCGTACAGCCGTTCATGGGTGTAAGTAAAATTTCCTAATATTAAATCCAAACACACTTTTTTCACATGATTTTTATAGTCTGTTTCTTTAAGCATTAATCTTACACCACTGTCTTAGGTTAGGGGGATAAAAGGATACCAGGAAATACGTTTAACCCCACTGCATTTGTATGTATCTTTCCAAAGTCAGGAATCAGGTTGTCGTTTGTTATTGTAGTTTATATTAAGTTTTCGTTTTTCGTTTTCAATTAAAATTAGGCCGTTGAATTTCTCGTTTAAATTGTTTTTCATGGGTCATGTTGGGGCCCTTTATAACTTACTGTTTGGTTTTAGCCAAGCCTTCTTGTTGAAGGCCGTACTGCAATCTATAATTGCTTACATTGAAAACACCAGAAGATGCCTGCGAAATCGCGGTACAATTAGGCAAGTGATGAAACAAAGAGTGTAGAAACCGTAAAGGATTTGGACAAGGTTAATGCTTTTAATTCTATTTTTTTTAAAAGATGAAGATGAGGAACATAATGCAAAAGACCCCATTCATCTCGTTTGGAAAATAAAAATATTGAACACCCTAAGAAAAGTGTGACAAAGTGGGATTTTCAGTAGTGTTTTGTCCTTTTAACTCAATAACCGTATTAGCTACGAAAATCCGTTGACATTACCGGAAGGAATCAAAATGAGTACCACAATGAAAAAATTCCATCTAAATAATTGAAAAATAAAATCTCAAACACTTCATCAGGAATCAACCTCTCTTGTATCCCAGAAACCGTTGACGCTACTCCAAATCTGTTGTCATACTCCAGTTGCGGAATCTTATTAACAATATAAAAACTCCATTAAAATACGTTAAAAAAAATGTATATGTCAACTGAGCATGAGCGAAAGCGTATAAGACACGGATCGATATTGGTCTCCGAATTTGGATATTTTCTCAAAAATAGGCGTTTTCTGTGGAAAAAAGATTGTTTCAAAGACAAATTTAAAAAAAAAGTATTTAACACTACATTTGTACGTCATATCATAAATATTTCCGACTTGTATAGTTTCAGAGGAGTTGCGGCTTAATGAAATTTAGTAGAATAGATTTTATCTTGGACCAAGAGTTGTCTCATTGGCACTCATGCCACATCTTCATATATTCATATAAAGATCCTTTAAATGATTTGTCATGACTACTGGCAGTAGGATAATACAGTATATTGCAAGTAACATGTATGTGAAGGTGGTTGTGTGCTTGAATTTATTTTGGGAGTTTGGAGAAGGGTCTTGCTTTGATGACTGGGGGTCCTCATTTATATTGTTGAGTGGGTTAAATAATGCTACATGTTGAGCAAATAAACAGCTGGTCACCTGGTCACCTTTATGAAAATGTTATTTGGTGTCACAGGTAGAAAAAGATACCTCATAATTGTACGTATTTACGCAGTTAACTTTCAAATAGGAAAATCAGTAACATATATATATATATATAGAAAGTTGGATTAATTGCCTAATGACAATTTTTTTTTTAAATAATATAATGGAAGTGATTTTGAATCTTAGAGTTGTTATTATTATCAACATTCATAAATTATGTCATCAGGAACTAATATATAGTACATATATGTCTATAAAGTCTTCGCTTGTGCATATATATTTATGTATGAAAAACACTTATTTCTTCAACGCCAGACGCGCGTTTCGTCTGTATAAGACTCATCAGTGACGCTCATATAATGGACGTTTTTAAATGATTAGGGGGGGGGGGGTTGAACTAGATATATTTGTTGAAACTTGAAGGATTGTATAATTTAAAACATCTGGGATACTTGAATTGATCATTTTTTTGTAATATTACATTGTAGTCATATCAGTTTTAACTATTAAAGGATTGTTTCCAATTGTTGAACCATACTCGACCAAAGGTCTGAACTGTACTTGACCTATTCTCAATCATACTCGACTAGTTTATTCAAATTTTATCAATCTTAGTTGTATACATTTCATCAATTAATAACTACAACTTTACAAGTTAACATAAGATGTATTATAGTTATTTTTTTATTCAAAGTTAGACTAAATAAAGATGTTACATGATAACTTTAAGGAGAAAAAAAACATGTTTCATAAACAAAATATCACTATAAAAAAGATTATTAAATTTAAAAAATTTAAAAACTGATAATGCCTACACAATAATTACATTCAAGTATCATATGTTCTTTAAATTAAACAATTCTTGAAGTAACAACAAGTTTATCAATTTATTCCCCCAGCCCTTTAAACTGTCCATTTTACTCAAATACATATCCACATTAGATCGACTTAGAGAAAAACTTATAGATTATCGTTGGTCATCTCAACAAGATTGATTTTCTCGCTTGAGCCGGTACGGCTGACCGAGATGACCAATGATAATCTGTTTTTCGCCATTTTACCATTTGACGACGTTGTAAATTTCGTTGACAACGGCACGTGTGCCCTTATTTTCTAGCGATAATTTTTCATATCACTCTACTGTGCTGAGAAAGGATATCAGTCAGTAAGATCAAAAGGAAATTTCGTAAAATAGCGATAAATATAAGTATCTGGTGATACATAATTTAGTGATGTTGATAATAAGAAAATGTTTAAGATTTACAAACTGTTTCTGTATATCACAATCAGCATTACCTACAATATTATGGCAAACAACCTGCGCAGAAGGTGCGAAAATTTAAAACTGCCATACCACATTAACTTAATCATGTTTTGAAGCAGTCAGGATTTCATTGTGACATTAGTATTAAACAAATAAGAACTGACATTTTGATAGAAAATATTATACCAATAAAGTTGACTTATGCTATAAAATATTCAATTACCTACCTCCTAATTTCCTACACAATTTGAAAGTCTTCATTTCAAACAGGTAAGGCACCTCATCGTTTGAATTCGATGCAATAATATATTTGCCATCATTTGAAACTGCAGCATAATCTATGGTTGAATAATTTGATCCATTTTTACTTGAAGGAAATTTGATACTTGGAGAACAGTAGACATTCTTTTTTTCTATATCAACGACCCATATAGAGGTTTTGCTATAAGCTGTACAAATGGCATAATTATCTGAACCTGAAACATTTTTTTAATAAATTACTCAGTTTTCTTTTTAAAACAATCGTCAATACTGTGTAAACAATGACTCAGAAAACAACAGCAGTTGGAAGTAAAACACACTGCACCTTGATAGGAAAATAAACAGTTATATAAAATAATAGAAGTTTTGTCCAGTTAATCATGGACCTTGACGCAAAAGACCTGAAAAGCAATGACAACAATGAAATGTTTTCTCAGACACATTAAAAGTTGAAGGTTTAGTGAAAACGTTTGACAAAATTAAGATATAAAATCTATTAAAGTTAAGAATCATGACATATCAACCAATAATTCATTCTCTATAAAAGAAACTGCCTTAGATTCTGTTATCTGCTCTATTTAATGGTTGAACTTATTTTTATTAAAACTGCAATTTCAATTATTTTAACCCACTTAATGGCTGTAGGCTTATCTCATGTAGATGCTTTTAATCCCGGACAGGTTCACATTTTACACTTGAAAATATGTATTAGCTGCCTCTCCTTCTCAGAACACAGCATATGGGAATTAGAGTGATGCCTATCTAGCCCGATGTCTTAGTACACCGACAGTGCAGCTTAACCATACACCAACCCATAGTCCTAAAGATAGGTGTTAAATACAAGTACAATTTAAATCTAACATGACGAATAATCAAATTTAAGGTCAGATAAACCATTGGAAGACATAAACTTTCCAAAAAAAAAATATAATTCCATGTTCCATATAAAGTAGGCATAATGCTTAAAGTGTTAAACACAAACTTGACCGCGAAAACTCAACTGTCATGACAGGCATTGGTAATATGCAAGGTATGCACATACCAAATATCGTTATCCTTTAAACAATATATACGAAATAAGTAAAGTTTATAGCATACGGCATCTGTATACAAAGTATAAAGAACTCAGGTCTTCTACCCACTTTAGTATTAAGTAATCCTTATGCCTTCTATGCAGCCAGATCGCTATCCTTATGAGTAGTATTCTGCAAGTTGTCGTCACAGAGGACAATGATAATAACTTATATATGCTTACCTGAAGTAAATGTATGTTTTGGAAAGGCAAATCCCCAAACAATACCGCTTTCTGGAATAATAATCTCTTCAATGATTTTGCCAGTTCTCATGTCATAAAGGTTGACTACATTACTCTTCATAAATCCAACAAGTATGTCTTTACTTGAACCACAGATACAATAACCACTAAAGGCATCAAAAGAAAAAGAGTATTTTTTTTCTCCTAATTCAGTAACTACTGACAAATTTGTTGATTTAAATGCCTTTGAATAAATCAGTATGAGAGAATCATCTGCGACAAAATTTACTGTAACTGGAAAATAAACTATCTTCTCCAGGATTCGGATAAGCCTATAATTCTTTACATCCCACAGGCATAACGATTGGTCCGAACATGCTGAAATTACATAGATTACATTTCATTCAATAGTGGCATTGTGAATTAAAATCTATCCAGAAGTAATGAAGCTAATACCATTGTGTCAACAGCACGAGATGGCACATATATTATCAACAAGATATCAGTGAGAAGGCAACAATCTGTAAGATCCCCACTGTATTAACTACAAAGAGATCGTATCACTATTTTTAATTTAGCATAGATAAGAAGATGTCGTATGAGTGCCAATGAGACAACTCTCCATCCAAGTCAGAATGCATAAAAAAAACTTACAATTATAGGTCAAAATATTGTTTTGAGGAGGAAAATTAAAAAATAAATGTTCAAATGTGGCGACCATCTTTAAATATGAAGACATTGGCCACCATTTTGAAATTTCTGACACTGTAATTCACTACTATGTAAGATTATACCAAGGGTCATTAAATTATTTCTTGAAACCTTATCTTATAAAAGATTGAAAACTGGTATTTTTTGCGATATGTCGGCTATCTTGAAAATTTGAAATTGATCACCATTATTGATGTCGTCTTGTTTGTCATGTATTATGTAAAACTACACTTTTGTATCAATTTTGATTGCAATTGAGCAACGATGCAAGACCTAACGGTTTTTTTTGGTAGACATCTAGAAAACGGCTGTCATCCTAAAACATTATTCCGATAGTAAATGTTAAAATGAGACAGGGGGTCCAGCATTACACCAAGACTCTTGGATTTCTGATTAGCAATTACAAAGTTACAGAGCAGACAGGATTTGGAATGGAAAAAATATGTTTTTTTCGCGGCCATTTTGAAGTGCCATTTGATATCACAACTAGACATGGCGGTTTAACATCATACCAAGATTCATTGAGTTCTATTATCCAGTTGCAAAGTTACAGAGTGGACAGGATTTGTGACGATTTGTGTATATGAACAACTTAGACCACAATGCCATCAACGTCCTTCAAATTCTTATTGGAATTTTAGAGGGTCATAAATTATTGGATGGATGTTAGGAGGATTAGATGGGGTTTTTTTCTGTGATTGAGTTTTAACCTTTGACTTTACTTTAGAATAAAGTAACAAAGTAGATTGGATAGGGCAAGAAACTAAAACTAGCAAGAGGCTTACTAGGGTTCCAAAAATGGTTTATAATGGTTCTTTAACATGCATATGAATTATCATTCTATCTATACTAGGAATAGGATTTAATTTCTTTCGCAACATGAGCAACATAACACAATTAAGAAAGAAAGTAAGGTATGAAATCTCACAAGAAGTAACAGCTATCTTTCCATTCTTCTTGATATCAACACTCATTTTAGCCGGACCATTAAATTCGTGTTCACCTGCAGCATAAACCAATGGTCCTCCAACCTTCACTAATAAATCACTATCAGGACACATGTAGGTAACATCTCTCTGCATACATGCATCAGTAAAGATCTGTAATTCCTAAATATGAAAACAAAGTGGTTTCAACTATATTGGTAATTCAATTGATTTTGTCTATGAATATGACTGAGTGTACCTCCGGAAATGAGCTTTATCACAGAATTTAGAAAATAAAAGAGATAAGTGAATATTTTTTTCATTTTTCAGATCCAATTTAACAAACTGCTTCTGTATTTAAAATTTCTCAAAAATCAGTAGCATGACCCATCAACAGGAGTAAAATTCCAATAGCATTACATGCCTGCCTATTAATTAGGATCTCAAACAGGCTTTATGTACAAGACGACCAGATATACCTTTCATACAAAACATAAGGGCTTTTTATTTGCTTAAAATACTTAAATAAAATTGAGAATGGAAATTTAAATTTATAATGCCTTTTTAATCCGAACTTGATCAATATCTGGGCATTTTAATTGTAGCACTTATGATGATATGTAAGTATGAATGAGAGGCAATCACAATGATGCTAACCATGGTTTGATTTACATTTATTAGTGTCTTGGCATTTTCGAATATACCAAGTACCATAACTCCAAAACAGTACAATACAATACGTTCATTTGAATGCGACCTACATTTTTTGTTATCAGCAACAACAAAACAGGAGAAGGTGCGATGAGGACCATATTTGACCTATTTTTCTACGGAAATTCTAACTTCAGATTTCAGTTTTTCTTCATGTCTGTTCAAAAGTTGAGGAACAGATAAATTAAAAAAAAGATAAGTTTTTAACTCATGAAGTCACCATTAATGCAGCTATGGCGTCATAAAAAGGCCTTTCTACCAGTTTTTTTTTCTTCAGAATATGTCGATTTTGGCAAATTTTCCTATGTTTTTGACATGCAAAAATAGACAAGATGCAAGAACCAACTACATAATTTACGATGATGTTTGTGTTTATAATCAACACCTTTCATGTTAATATTTTTGTGGTTCTTGCATGTACTCAATATTTTCCTCTCATAAATATGTATGAAAATATACTCATTTTCACAAATTTTGATGAAAAATCGGAATTTTGCTAACTTTTGTCTGAAAGATCGCTGTAAATAATCATAATATTCCAAAGATATTTTTGTTACAATTTGTACATACTCAACAATAATATATATGCTAAAATAACCAATTTTTTAAATACTTCATTTGTATAAGCCGAAGAGGGCCCTTAGCGCACCTCCTCCTTTAAAAAAAACATATTGATGAGTTTGAAAAATGTTATGTCTGAAATTATATACATAAATATTTGTATAATCATACATTGTTATCTCCCCAAATTTTTATCTCCCTTACCTTGTTTTCTGCCCAACCTTGTTATTTTCTCAACCTTGTTATCTCCCTTACTTGTTTTCTGCTCAACCTTGTTATCTCCCTTACCTTGTTTTCTGCCCAACCTTGTTGTTTTCTCAACCTTGTTATCTCTCTTACCTTGTTTTCTGTCCAACCTTTTTATTTTCTTAACCTTGTTATCTCTCTTACCTTTCTTTCTTCCCAACCTTGTTATTTTCCTAACCTTGTTATCTCCCTCGCCTTGTTTTTTGCACAACCTTTTTATTTTCTTAACCTTGTTATCTCCCTTACCTAGTTTTCTGCACAACCTTGCTTTTTTCTCAACCTTGATATCTCTCTTAATTTTTTTTGGTGCCCAACCTTGTTTTTTTCAACCATGTTATCTCCCTTACCTTGTTTTCTGCCAAACCTTGTTATTTTCTCAACCTTGTTATCTCCCTTACCTTGTTTTCTGCCCAACCTTGTTCTTTCCTTAACCTTGTTATCACCCTTACCTTGTTATCTTTAAGTCTTAGGAACATTTGTTGTGAGAACTGGCTTGTATCGTACAAAAAAGATTCCCCTGATACAAGGAGAGCTTGTAAAATAAGCTTTAACTGTTGATCGTTGATCATCTTTTTGGCAATCTCATAATCTTCTATCACTGACCTAAATAATGAATACATACTTATAATTATCAACTTGTATTACATTTTATATTTCATGATGCTAGGTAAACACATTCCACCATTTAAACATTACTTTAAACCATATAATAAATTTATGAATCATCAAATTTATATTAACCATAGGAAAACTAAAATTAAATAAGAGGCTTCTAAGATCCTAAATTGCTTATGACCTATATAAATAAGAAGTAGTGGCCGTTATGAGTGCCAATGATATAAATCTCCATCCAAGACACAATATAGTCAAAGTAACCAATTACAGGTTACAGTTCGGCTTTCAACATGGAGCCCTGGCTCACAACGAATACCAAGTTATGAAGGACCCAAAAATGACCAGTTTTTAAGGGGCACTAGCTGTCAAATTCATGTTCACCGATTCGACAATCGTATATAAGAATTATTGTATTTGTCTGTTTGATTTGATGTCATAGATTTAAAAAAATATGTAAATCATCTATTTACAAGTATTTATTGCTTTTTACGACCAAAATCAGTCCACGAAAGGATTCTTCCCGACGGCTACCTTGTTTCTCTTTTCAATGTTGACATTATTTATCTTTTATGAATAACATAACTCGCTTAGCTCGTGCGTAACAGGGGTCAAATTGAAGGTCGCGTGAATACGTCTGCAAATGAGGTCGAGTTATTCACTTGCAAGCAAAAAATTAATCAGCGATTTAGTTTACCTTATTTTGCCAAACTGGTTGCTAAAAGCGGATTTGTTTTTCATTATTATACTTTCATTAAGGTTTGAGACGCACAAACAATTATTTTACCATTATTTTTAACTTGAAAGCTAGTGCGCATTTAATCAATTCAATTGAGAAAACGAATGTATATAAAAAAACAAAAGATACGAAAACACATATGAACTACCCCAACAAACGACAACCACTTAACAACAGGGACTTGATTGAGGACAGGTGTATTTAAAAAACTAGAATGGTTTGTGTATGTCTTACATCAAGGATAACAGTTGCTGTTAAAACTTTGCGAAAAATCATACAGAGTCAAATTTAAAAATACACCGAAGGCGATATTACTGCCATGCTGGACTTTTTGATTGACAACATATTTGTTGAATTCGGAAATTTGATCTCCCAACAGACTATTGGGATCCAAATTGGTACCGATTGCCTTCCACTACTTGCAGATTTGTTTCTGTACTAATATGAAACGGAATTTATCGTAAGGCTTCTGCAGAAAGAAGAAAATTAATTGACCCAGTCTTTTAATTTCACCTTCCGGTAATGTAAATTCAGAAATTATTGCGTGCATTTATTATTGCAATTTGTAAAGAATGGACAATAATGCCAGATTAATTATTGCGATTTCAGGAAAATCTGCATACAGATGCATATATCAGATATCAAAATGCGACTTTTAATTATTGCGATACTATCCCAGTCGCACTATTCGCATTTATAAAAACCTCGCAATAATTTCTGAATTTACTGTATATAGACGGATGTACTGTCTAATACTAGTAGTAATAACAGATTGAATGATCACTTACATTTAATATATCTTATTTTACTTAAAATTACAGATATTACCGACACAGATAAATATGCTTCATATTTAGACCCTTTTCTTGAAATTACTACTGATAGTAGGTTGAATGCCAAAATTTATGACAAACGCGATGACTTCCCATTTCTAACAAGCAATATCTCAGCGTCGCCAGCTTATGGAGTATATGTGTCTCAATTGATACGTTACTTTAGAGAAAGTTCTCAGTACATTGATTTTGTTGAGCGAGGAATACTGCTTTCTCAAAAGTTAATTTGACAGGGCTATGAATCAGCAAATAAAAGTCAAGAAATTTTATTGTCGCCATCATGAACTGATTGGCCATTATGACAAAAGTGTGTCAGAAATTTTATCTGATATTCTTCCTCACGGGTGAAACACAATAATGGGGACATTTACAACTGGTATTTTTTTAAGTAAGCTCTAAAGCTAACTTAAATATATTTGGATGCCATTTTCTGTTTTTAATATTAGGCAATGAATGTTTTAACCCCATTCAAAATTCTATCTTAAATAGATTTTGAACAACAGTGAGATTAGTGGTTCACAAATGTTCATTTTCAGACGTTATGCAGTTGCGCTTCAAACTTTACATTATTTTTTATCTTTAAAATCTTTTAAATAGTAAGTGTAATCATCATTTCTAATGTTTTCATTTAAAGATTATTAAGATTAAGATTAAGCTAATTTAAAAAAATGGCATGCATAATTGTAAATGTGGTGCTTCTTATACATTTTTCATTTATGGTCCTGAAAACTAATTGCAAGAATATTCATTAAATATGTATGTCAAAATACTATCATATAATAATACTAAAATAAAATACAGTTATATAAATGATATAATTCATACAGAATATTTTTGAAATTTTCAAAGTAGAAAAAATATTTTTCAAAAAAGTGTAGTGTCCGTTACCACCTTATTATTCTCATAGAAAGAATAGCTACAGTAAACAATAAGCTACTTTTCATTATAAATTTGACACTTAACACTTAGTACTACTTAGTATTAACATAATAACAAAATTTAGCACCTTCTTATTTGAATCTATTCAGAATAAATGTAGTGTCCGTAACCATGATGTTACAAATATTTTTATTTCATCAAAATAAGCTTAATTTCTAGGTTATATGATGTCTACTTTGCTGCATCGTCATTGTCTTTTGATTAAAAATATTTGAGCTGATAGTAATTCTTGACGTTCTAATTTGAAACTAGAAACTTGGTATCAGTTTGTCATGAACTCATAAGATGAGTTCTTTTGTAATTTTAGGTTAAGAAAATTCATCTTCATGATTATTTTTATGGTTTTCATATCCTCGGATTATTTTTGTAGTGTCCGTAACCCAGGGATCTTTTTCATTTTTCAAAATCTCTGGTTTTTTCTTCCTCCAATTGATTAATACTGTTAGCCACCCAAGAGTATCCTGTCCTATACTGGGCAGTTTACATACAAACACCCATGAAATGCAGTATCTGCTCCCTGGAGCACCTCAGTTATGGTGTTTAAATATAGTTCCTCTGTTTGGTTAATGTATGTGTATTAAACGGCTTCCTTTGTATTTGTTTGTTACTGTGCTATTTGTGTTACTAACGGCTTTCCATAGTTTTTAATTTTGAACAAGCGTCCTCCAGCTCAAGTTAGTTTTACCAGTGTAAATGCATATTCCTTTTTATATGTATCCAAGATTGATAAAGATAGAACATCATTTCAATGTTAACAGTTTTATTTGTGATACTGTTTAAATATATTTGAAAAAAAACGAATTATGACCATTCTAATACTTGCATACAGTACAATATACCATAGTGCATATGAACTAAATTACGATCTAAATTCATATTTGTGGTGTCCGACGTGGTGGGAGATAGCTTACTGTACAAAAAGACGGCTACTAATATTCCATATTTTATCCTAATCTTAAGCTTATTTTACTTCTTTGTTTACAATTTTAAAAGTGAACTTTTTGAACCTGCCGCCAGCAGAACTTTGGGCTATCTGCCTTACTGAGTGTTCGCGCGTTTATATACAAAAGTCATAAGTGTCACGTGACATACTAATCCAATAGTTACTTGTCCTTTCCGGGAAGCCGGAACTATACAAAATTACGATATTGAAAAACATAGAATTGAAATCATCTTGAGTTGTCCTATGATTGTCTTTTAACATAAAATATTAAAACTAAACAATAGAGCTCATAATATCAATAAAATAACTTGAAATATGCAATTGGACACCACTGCGTGCGCATTAATTTAGCAGACGATATTCGCAAGTACATAGAAGTAAATAACGTAAAACATAGTTCATCACAATCTAAATATTTACAATATATTTGTGTCCGGAAGGGTATAACCATAAAATATTAAATGTGTGGTATTAAAAATACAAATAAAGGTCAATTGACCAGGGTACGAATTGGTATTTAAAGATATAAAAACATATGTTTCGGTACCCGCTAAAATGGCAGACGACAAAGTATCCGTCAATAAACAATTGCAATTAAAGTATTTCCATATGTATACCAGGCATATCAGACGTTTAAATATGAATATTTGGTTACCAGAAATGATCCTTAATACTGGAATTACATGATATATAGCATGAAGAAGGTAACCCATGAGTAATTACATACATTCCCTGCCGTAACACTTGTATAAAAAAATGTAAACAATGATAAACTCATTTCAAATTCCAGAGCTTTCACATAAAATCAGTTGCTTTACTGGATATATATCACCCTATTACCAACATATGTACACACCTAACTTGTAAAACTATGTTTTGGCTTATGAAATTCCTCCCCCTGTAATTTATTGGCAAAAAATGAAACTTTGGCCAATGAAATCCATAAAAATAGTAAATTTTATGCCATATCTTTTATTACAAATGTAAAATGTTTCACTTGCTGGCTGCGAGCAAAGTTACTATGCGTAAGAACACAACCGTTTAGTTTAAAAGATAATATTTCTGTTTCTGAATTTATAATTTCATAAAAAGTATTTCCAATGCCTTACAATACCATGTATACTAGCATGTAGATTCGTTAAAGATCTGTACTTGATATTAGTATATGATATTTTATAAAATAAACTAAGAAGTTAATCTAATGAACTCAGGTATATTTGAAGGTAAAGTATGCTTTATTTTTGTTTTATCTATAGTTCAGGTAGTGTCTTATAATAGAAAAACATTTATTTCATAAAGTTCAGAAGAAATGAATACCCTTTAATCCACAAAAAGTATGTTACTTTTAGAAAATTGTTGGAAAAAGTTGCCGGGGTGTAGTGTCTGTAACCATCAATATGTCTTTTTTTCTGATTACCAAATGTAATTCTATGAATTTTTCTTTTCAGAAATATATGTTTTTATCATTCCTTTAAGTGCATAACACCTACTTTGTTTAGATTTGTCTAAGGTTTTACTTCAGATTTGAAATGATAAACTTGGTCCATTTCATATCAACATGTCATGTATGTTTACATGTAAACAACTTTAATTACATATATTTATTTATAATCATGGGTCAATCTGTTGTTAAAAAATGTAAACGATAAACAAAAATACACAAACTTAATGTGTTACCCATGGAAAATATTCACATTGGGTAAATTATAAACATAAGATCAATGTAGTGTAACTTACTGAGTTTATGTAAGACACCAGTAATGTAAGGAATACATTTTCTGCTGTGATTTATATTCCCATGAATAGAAGGACAACTGTTAATGATTTTGATGGACTACATGTATATAGTCTTTCATTTTAAGCGAGGTGCAGTTCTTACAATAATCCTTTTTTTATCAAGAAAGGGGTGTAATTTTGAAAAATGCAAAAGTTAAACTTTGATTTTTATTTTGGTTGGTATTTTGTTAATAAATTGCATAGAAATATAATTATGAAAAGAGACTTGGGATAGTTCATTAAAGACATAAATTTCTAGAGGTTAATTAGTGTCCGTAATCAGCATTTACCTTACCCCATACAAAATAGAAAATAAAACACTTCTCATTGTTTTTTCCACTAACCAAATGAGTTTAATAAATTTCAAGCATTATTTATTCAAGATCAAAAATTATTTTTCTATTGTGCTGACCTTTATTTTTGACCTCAAGTGCAACATTACAGTTCCTTTTATTGTGTTTTACCCGACAGTCAAAAGTTACCTTCCATCATTACAAGACTGGATATAGAATAACACAACGGGTGCTGTATATGTTGCAGAAAATGCTAACCCGTAAGGAACATCTGATTCTACTCCCAGTTTTTGGTGGAGCTCGTGTTTGTGTCTAATTTATTTAAACTGTTTGTAAAAATTGTTTGGTTTTATGGGTCTTTTTTACTCCTTGGTTTTGATTGTTATTGTCTTTTAAAGAAATGACCTGATGGTCGGTTTATGAATTCTATATTTCTAAATAATTTTGTTTACCTTACAGAAGAACATTCTAGTTTGGTATATATAAATGGTAGGTTCATTAGACATTCATCCTTCAATTGTGTAACCCTTTTTGACATAGAAAGATGGTATGGAAGGTTGTTCAGCTTCCTTAAATTGTATGTATCGCCATATTTGATTGGCTGGGCAACAACATATCTGTCAGCTAATCCACTCTCATTGCTTCTGTTCACATACGGCTTTTTATTGCCTGATATGAAAAAGAAAAACAAAAAGAAATAAAAAAACTAAATTTTATCATTCAATGTAAACCAAATATAAAAAAAAATATTGCAATATATAAGTCCAAGTAATTTCCTCGGAAATGAGAAATGCAAGCACTGCATACCAAATAAAACTTGTCTTACTACTAGTGGAACGTCAGAAACTGAATGTATAATAAGAAACTTTAATTTGATTACTGTGCAAAAAACTTAAACAAAACTGGGGTTAGAAAATTTTTTTTTTTTTTTCTCTCGAATAATTCATAGTTTTGCAAACTGTAAATTTATAATATAACCTTCTTATTGTCCACCAACAGTGACATCAACCCAGTGTTTGTAAATACTTATCAAGGATATCAGGCTTATATTTGTATACGCTAGATGCGTGTTTCGTCTACAAAGGACTCATCAGTGACACCTATATATATAGAAATATTTTAAAAGCCAAAACAAGTACAAAGTTCAAGAGCCTTGAGGACCAAGAATTCTAAAATGTTATGCCTAATACGGCTAAGGTAATATATGCCTTTGTTAAGAAATTTCATAGTTTTTCGAATAATTTATAGTTTTGAAGACTGTAAATTTATATAAAAACAAGACCATATCATTTTTATCATTACTTCATAACGTATATAACTGATCTATAACAAGTGGTGCAAAACTTTTATAGTCATTAGAAATTTAACTTTTTGGCTAGATCGAATAATCTGAGTGCAAATTAAAAGTGCTAATTTAAAGCTTATACAAGCGAAAATATAATTGGCATTTCATTTTGGGTCCAATTAAACTTACTTAATCACAAACTGTATCGCCTTCAACTGTAGAAACAACAGGTATATGTCTCATATCCATTTGTTATGGCGAGACAAATTGGCAAACTTGAGAAAAATAAAAGTATGACAAAGCTTTGATGGACCTAAATGATACAAATTCAACCGAAAGGGAACATGCATTCATGGCACCAAACATCAATTGCATATAATTTTACATTCATTTCACAAGAAATAAACTTATTTGATCTTATATTCAAAACAGATGATAAATATAAGTACCATTGGCCCAAGTTCCTAAAAAGTAGTCTGCCAAAGCAGTATGAAGGTTTGTAACACTGGGTTCTCCTCTGCAGTACCTATCCTGTGCTGCCTCAATAAACTGTCTATGGTACCAGTAGATAACAGTAGCACCATCTGCTCCTCTCTCAACTGAAAGTAAGGCACATTAAAGCTATAACAGGAATACATACTCAATATTGTATTTACAATTAGTCACAAAATAGATCTAACAGGAATACATTTTCAATATTGTTTTTTACAATTAGTCACATAAATGAAGCTTAAGGCAACATTAGTATACCAGTGTTCAAAAATCATATTCCTGACTTCGTACATGACATTTTAAGAAAAATTGTGAGTTGAACCTGGTTTAATGGCATGCAAAACCTCCCGCTTTATGACAAAAGCTATAAGAGTAATATATATTCAATATTGTGTTTAAAATAAGTCACATAAATGCTATTACAGGAATACATTTTCAATATTGTATTTACAATTAGTCACATTTAAGCTATTACAGGAAAAGTAAAATCACAAAAATACTGAACTCCGAGGAAAATTCAATCGGAAAGTTCCTAATCACATGGCAAAATCAAATGACAAAACACATCAAACGAATGGACAACAACTGTTCATATTCACTATTTTATTTACAATAAGTCACATAAGGGCTATTCCAAGAATGCATTTGCAATATTGTATTTAAAAGTTTATAAAGCACAATATTGACAGATTTTCCTAAAACTAGAATAGTTTTGAACTAAAGAGAGATTTTCTGATAGAATATTAACGATCATCAAAAAGCTAAAGAAAAATATCAAAAGATGTTCACAGGCCACGATGCTTTGCTCTCAATATCATTTTCCAAGTTCAGTAAAACATGAAATTAGGGGGTTAGAACCCTAGTTTTGCATATGATTAAGAAAGATCACACCATAATAAACATGTGTTCAAAGTTTTAAGTCGATGTAACAACAACATCAACAAAATTTGCCTTCAAAACAATCTTCAATTTGATCACTAACAGACCTACAAAACGGAAACATGTCACTTTTCTATCGTAAGCGAGGCACCAAAGTTGAAAAAAAATTATGTCATAACTCTTACATGTCTTATCAGATGGCATTCAACGTCAACTGCATACATGTTTGGACATTATGGTAAAATGTAGGACATTAATTTCTTTATTTAGAACATGACTGTATTCAAATAAAAATTTGTTTGTTGCTTAACTTTTCTAACAATGTAAATAGTTTGGGGGTTAAACACTTTAATTAGATTAAACGAGTACATGGCGTGTTAAACGTAAATCGAAGATTTCAAAATTCGTTTTTTTTCTAAATAAAAAGTGTCTTTAAATGTACTTTGTTTTAAATTTTGTACAAAAAGAAAAATTCTTATCAAGCATCAATATAAACAGAAAAAGATGTGGTATAATTGCCAATGAGACAACTCTCAATCCAAGACCTAAAGTAGTAAATGTAAGCAATTATAATCACAGTAAGGCATTCGACGTGGAGCCTTGACTCACACAGCAAAAAAAGCTATAAATGTCCCAAAAATTACTAGTGTAAAACAATTCAGACGGGACTCACCAACGGCCAGATCTAAATTTAAAAAAAATATATACGAAAAACAGTTATAACACACAGCAACAAGCGACAACCACTAAAAGTACAGGGTCCTGAATTGGGACAGGTACATATAGTATATATGCAGTAAGGTTATATGTAATTGATGGATCCAAACCCTCCCTCTAACCTGGAACAGTGGTGTTACAGCACAACAAAAGAACTCACATTAAAAACTCTTTTGAAATAGGTTTAACTCATCAGATCTGTACCATGAAATATAAAGTAAACAACCAACGTATAAACAGGTATGATGACACAATCAAACATAAAAGATATCAAGTATAAATGTCCAAAATGAGAATAGAGACATAAAATATAAAAGATTATAGGGTCAAAACAATCAAATTTTTTGCTTATTAATAATAAATTTTAAATATCCGAAATTTATAACAGTGAATAACTTAAAAATCCATATGTAATGCTGGTTTTAAACGAAATGCTTCGACTTTAACCTTGTAAAAAATGTTCATAGTCAAACCCAGTTAAATTACAAAAACAATTATTGTTGATAGGCATATAAATTATAGAAGATCCATTACGAAATAAATTCGCTACAATCAAGGCAGATGAGATCATGTAACACAAACCTTAGTATCGCTGTAGATCATGTTACACAAACCTGAGTATCGCTGTAGATCATGTTACACAAACCTGAATATCGTTGTAAATCATTTAACACAAACCTTAGTATCGTTGTAAATCATGTAACACAAACCTTAGTATCGTTGTTGATCATGTTACACAAACCTGAGTATCGCTGTAGATCATGTTACACACACCTGAATATCGTTGTAAATCATTTAACACAAACCTTAGTATCGTTGTTAATCATGTTACATAAACCTGAGTATCGTTGTAGATCATGTAACACAAACCTGAGTATCGTTGTAAATCATGTTAAACAAACCTGAGTATCGTTATTGATCATGTAACAGAGACCTGAGTATCGTTGTAGATCATGTATCACAAACTAGAATATCGTTTTAAATCATGTAACAGAAACCTGAGTATTGTTGTACATCATGTAACAGAGACCTGAGTATCATTGTAAATCATGTAACAGAGACCTAATTATCGTTGTAGATCATGTTACACAAACCTTAGTATTGTTGTAGGTCATGTCACACAAACCTGAGTATCGTTGTTAGATCGTGTTACACAAACCTGAATATCGTTGAAGATCATGTAACACAAACCTGAGTATCGTTGTAGATCATGTAATACAAACCTTAGTATCGTTGTGGATCATGTAACAGAAACCTAAATTGTATGGTTCATGTAGATCATGTTAAATAAAACTGAGTATAATTGTATAACAGAGACATGAGTATCGTTGTAGATCATGTTACACAAACCTGAGTATCGTTGTAGATCATGTAACACATACCTGAGTATAATTGTAGATAATGTTTTACAAACCTAAATATAATTGTAGATCATGTAATACAAACCTGAGTATTGCTGTAGATTATGTAACACATACCTGAGTATAATTGTAGATAATGTTTTACAAACCTACATATAATTGTTTCGTGTTAGATAAAACTGAGTATAGTTGTAGATCATGTTACACATACCTGAGTATAATTGTAAATAATGTTTTACAAACCTAAATACAATTGTAGATCATGTAATACAAACCTGAGTATTGTTGTAGATCATATAACACATACCTGAGTATAATTGTAGATAATGTTTTACAAACCTAAATATAATTGTTTCATGTTAGATACAACTGAGTATAGTTGTAGATCGTGTTACACAAACCTGAGTATTGTTGTAGATCATGTCACACATACCTGAGTATAATTGTAGATAATGTTTTACAAACCTAAATATAATTGGAGATCATGTAATACAAGCCTTTATTATGTTGTAGATCATGTTAAACAAAGATGAATATTGTTGCTTATTATGTTTCGTAAAACTTAATATTGTTGGAGATCATGTTAAACACACGTAAATAATGTTTAAGAACTTGTTACATAAACCTATGCATTGTTGTAGATTTTGTTACACACACGTAAATATTGTTGAAGACATTGTAACACAAACCTATTCAGTAGAATAACCGGAAGCGTCTGAGTGAGGATTTCGTTGCTCAGTGATACGGTTCATTAGACGACGTTGTCAACACGTAATAGCGGCCATTGTTTGACGTTGGATTTGGCATTCCACGTTGTAAAGTTGCATTTATGACATTCTTGGATGCTTAAACTTTATGCCACACAACATTAAAGGTAAACGCTTATTTCAGATATTCAGATATAATAATTTTCAAATAAGTGTGATCCCAAGAAATGATTTAAAAGGCAAAAAATAAAGTGTAAAATGATATGAAACATGAAAATTGAAATCCCATTTTTCATCATTTGACATTTCCTATTCATATATTGAATCCACTATTTACACCAACAAATGGTGAATTACATTCGGATTTCGGTCTCAGGTATCCGCCCTTGTCTCCGGAAATATTGTACCCACAAAAGTTGTAAATATCCGTTTTCAAACTGTTCAAAGTGTTTTTCACAATCTCCCTGGAAAATATTGACGCCATTACTTCATGCTCATATAATAGAACATTGTTAACATCTAACAGGAAATACGGACCAAAATGAATCAAATTTGAATGCACGGATGATCACGTTTCATGCCGACCGTACGTTCTCTAAAAAGGGGGGAATTTTTTCCCAAAATATACTACATGAACATCTCAGATTCAACTCAAAAGTTTATGTACCAAATCATTAGCATGCGAGACACATTCACTTTAATTCTTTGCTACTATATACCTGGTCTAATATAAATATATTCGTCCCATTTCATATACACCAAAATTTAATATTTTATAAAAACTTCCATGAGGCCAAATAAAATAGTATGTGTGTTTCCTGTTACATCTTTGAAAAAAATAGGGTAGGTAGGGAATTTTTTTTATTTTACAATTTGTTTTTTACATTGAGTCTATAGGAGAGAAATTCTGACTTAAACCGTGCTCAGTGAAAAATGACCAAAAAAACTTTAAGGTAGGCTATTTCTAAGCTTAAAGACAAATCCCTCTATTGTTTATTCGCATATACAAGCGCAGCAGTATTATGCCGTCAACGGTTTGTGATGTCCCTGTTTCCGTAAACTGTTAACATTTATGAGAGTTATTCCTCTTTGATCCGATGAAGGAGAATGACAATCGTTTAGCATGGTCGAAAGGAAATTGTCCTCAGATTTTTGACGTGTTCCTAAATAGAAAAGAAAATGTTTTGTTTGTTTTCGAGGAACAACATAGGAAACACCAAAATATTCATATAAAAAAGAAGTTTACCAAGTATACCAAGAAATTAATAGAACAAAAAAGGAAGTAATTTACATAAAAGTAAACAAATCCTCTACAGGAAGTGGTTATGGTCTATGTTGATGGAGTATGCCTTCCTTTTTATATGAATACAAGGAGATTAGGGGTATACGTCAACTATACAGCAATCCAACAACAACAAAAAGATTATCAAGGCGCAAAACCAA